TATATGGCTTTTGATAGGAGGCTTCAGTTCCTCTTCATATTGACAACTCCTTACAACATGGCAGCTGGCTTCCCCCAGAGTGAGTGATCTGAGAGAGAGGGAGAGAAAAAGAGACCAAGAGAGAAGCCACAGTTTCTTTTATAACCTTATATTAGAACCTAGTATTAGAAGTAACATAGTACCACTTCTTCTGTATTCAATCAGTCACATAAAGCAACCCTAGTATAATATGGAAGGGAGCTACACAGGGTATGAACACTTTAAGGCAATGCTCAATGCCATTCTGAAGGATGACTAACACATCATTAGTCACAGTACCTAGGACAGAACTACTTACTCTGAATATTGACAATTAAATTGAAATGTAAATATTTATTGTCTTTCTTGTATGGACTATATTTCAGGGTAACCAAATAGCCCTGAATAGATAGATTGATGAGAGAAAATCCTTCTTTACAAAGGAATTCCAGCTCATAAATGTGAAACAATTATTGAATTAGAAAAAAATCACAATTTTGCAATCTCTAATGAAATGGTTGATTCAGGCAAAGATCATCAATGGATGAAACCACCAAATTAAAGATTGACAGGGAACTTTACATGGAGAGGTTCAACTATCAAGTGCTGAACTCATTGATCAATCTTAGCATCACAAAAAGCGGATCAATCAGACATTATATGCTTCCAGATATAAAGCAAAAAGAAGTACATAGCACCACCTAAGACTTCTTACTCATAAAGGTAAACCAAACTTGAATCAAACCTGAAGAGCTAACATGTAGTTAACAGGAAATATGAGGCTAGAGAAACAAATTAAATGAGGACACAAATATACAAAACAGTCACAGGGATGTGAAATACAATATGGGGAATATAATCGATAGTGTTGTACAGATTATGTAGGGTGCCAGATGGGCACTGGACTTATCCAGGGGATCACTTCATAGATTGTGTAGATGCCTGGCCACTGGACATTACACCTGAAGCTGATGTAGAATAACGTTGAATATATGTATATATTCATGGGATTTAAAGTACAGCATAGAGACTATAGTCAGTGGTATAGTAATAGCTATATATGATGTCAGATGGGTAGTAGACTTGGAGGAGAGTTATCACTTTGTG